GGAGGGAAGGAGAGGCGGGGAAAGGGGAGGACCCCTCTGGGGAGCTGTGCCTCTGCCAGGTGTCATCGTGTTGCTCCTCAGTCTTATCTGAGCAGTGTCGGATCACTGCTTTCTGCTTCTTTTGGGGACTGAGTGTGTCTCTGCGAACATGGCTGCAGTCCATTGCATGGAAGACCTTGTAGGGGACATGTTCTAGGGAGCAAGGGATACCCCACACAGGGAGGGGCAGCAGGGAAGGTCTCCCAGAAGGAGAGCCCCAGCCTGCAGGCAGAGAAGCCAGACTCAGTCCTGGTGCTGCGTCAGAGGAAGCAAGGGGTCACAGGAGCTTGGAGAAGGTATCTGGGGACTGAGGGGCCCTCCTGACCCCCTCAAACAAGTTGAGCTCTCATCCCCGCTCCAGCTCTTTGCACTTGCTGTTGCTTCTGCCAGGAGCTCCCCCAACCACCCCCATCGTGTAACTGGCTCCTCATCCTTGAAATTCCTGGGAGAGACTGAGGTTTGCTGGCCCACCATGCCTTTCTCCAGAAGTCGAAGCCAAACCTTCCTGGGAGAGGGGTCTTCAGCCCTCTGCCCCATATTCCATGTTGCTCTGCTGGTTGACCTCATGCCTCAGGCCTGGCCAATCAGTTTGGTTCAGGGATGATCCTCTCACCCAATCAGAATCCCAGTCCTGGTCATTTTCTACCATCTCCCAGGGATTTGCAGATAGGACCAGTAGAGAGAGGACCTGTATGCAAACGATGGCAACACAGGACTAAGAGATGGAAGGAGATTCCGGACAAAAGTATCTAAACACCTAAATTGATGCGTGCCGGAAGTCAGCCACTCCTAGACTTCCTCATTAGGCAAGCCAATACGTTCTTCTGATATGCGTATACTTGTTACTCTTCATGGGGTTTCTAAGATCTGCAACCACAAAAGCCCTGCTTCATTGAAGAGCTTGGCTTAAACACCTGAGAGGAGTGTTCAGGATCACCTTGTGCTGTAATCTAAATGCGTGTGTCACCCCACATTCATATGTTCAAATCCCACCCCCCAGTGTGATGATGTTAGGAGGTGGGGCCAGGGGGAGATGATTAAGACAGGAAAGTAGAGTCCTCACAAATGGGATTAGTGCCATTGTAAGAGACCCCGGAGAGCTCCCTGACCCCTTCCACCATGTGAGGACATAGCAACGAGGCAGCCAGCTGTCTACAACCTGGAGGAGAGCTCTCACCAGCCCCCAACCATGCTGGCACCCTGATCTTGGACTTCCAGCCTCTAGAACTGTGAGAAATACATTTCTGTTGTTTATAAGCCACCCGGTCTCTGGCATTTTGTTGTAGCAGCCCAAACAAACTAAGACACCCTATGCGAAGTGCTCACCAACTTTGTTCTCTACCAGCCTATCCAGTTATTTTCCTTCACAGCATTCAGCCCACTCTGTAACAATTTTGATTACTTATTTATACTCATTTGCAGACAATATGATATATGTGCCCTGATGGTAGGGACCTCATCCCCCTTAGTCACTTCTCTATCCCCTTGGCCTAATGGGGCTGACAAATGATCTGCAGCCTCAGGTAGTCCCAGTGAAGGATGCAGGGACAGCAGGGAAGTGGGGGTCCCGAGCAGGGGACTACATAACACCAGGGTCACAGTCTAGCCAGAGATGGAGGGAGGGAGACAAGCCCATGTCATTTGTCTGATCAGCTGCAGAACCCCTTCACACTTGCTGAGCCTAGGGCTTCTCCCCGCAGGTGGAGACACCCTTCCAGGCCCCAGGATAGAGAGGTGGGGATACCATGTGAGAGATGAGATGTCTTCTCCAAGTTGGCAGATCCTGCAGACCGAGCCCACCCTTCTGCAGCCCCCTAGTGATGATTCCTGTCACTCTCAGGAACCAAGGACATTGCCCCATGAGAAAGGGGGTCATGGGTCACATGGAAATACCTCCCTAGAGATCAGCCCCTATAAGGGGACAATTCACATCTACCAATGTCCCCAAGTTAGGCATGTTCCATCCTTTACCTCATTTTTGTCCTCACAACAAAACAGCCTGGCGGGGATGAAACCACGGCTGCAGGAGGGGAAGTGGCCGGCCCAGGCTCTTGTAAGGAATCATCCCCAGAGCTTGACCAGCACTCAGAAGGTCTGCCTCAGGGACACACACCCCAGATGCTGTAAAAAATCCTTGATGGGAGCCAAGGACCTTTCAGGGAGTAGACATTAATATGGCTACTCTGGGGTGGGCGGGGGAAGTTTGGGAGTTGTTGCTAAAAATTAAAAACACACCTCATGTGACCCCAGCAGTGCCACTAGAGAGTCACTCACTCCCAGGCAGGAGGAGGTCCATCCCTGCAGGGTTGTCTATGACCTGAACACTGGCAAACAGCCAAACGTGGATGGTGATGAGAAGTCGGGTGACACAACACACGATGGTGTGTTCGTGTTCTCCAATGCCACACAGCAGAGAAGGAACTGGGTACGGTGTGTCCTGATGTGGAAAGTTCTCCAAAATGTGTTCAATTAAAAAAAAAAGCAGTGCAATGCAAATGGCATGAGACCTTTATACAAACCACAAACACGTAGGCACTTATAAGTATATAGGAAGGACAGAGAATGTTCTAGGATACATGCAAAACTGACAGGAGACAGGGAACAGACTAGGATTGGGGGCTGTGATCAAAGTAATTTTTGCTTTACTTTTTAAAACAGCTGCCAATTAAAAATAATCGTAACACAAAGAATTTCCCAAGGCCGCTTCTTTGTCACTGCCGGCCCGCCATCTCTTTCTACAAAAGTAGAACCCAGCTCTTCCTTTGGGTGCTTCAGCACAACACCCCGGAGGCCCATTTTAGCTGGCTGGGTGTGTTCCTCTACCACAACCCTCTCTGTGATCCTCTTCCAACAGGTCCCCTGCAGCAACCCTGGGCCGAGGGATACCCGATTCCCTCCTTCCAGTTTCTGTGCTCCCAGAATCCCTCGAGGCCCTGGGTCAGGGGCAAGGGGCTTCAGCTGGTCAATCCACGGGCAGTGTTTCAAAGCCATTGAAGAGAGCTGGATTCCTTGGTGATCAGGAAAGGTCACGGAGCTGCTTTCCCACACCCTACCAGGCGGGAAGCCTGGTGGGGAGTCCACCCAGCGTCCCAGGAAGGAAGGGAGAGAGCACACATTTGCTATCCACTCTGCAGCCTACAATACCCACCTCTTACAGAGGATGCAGGCTGAGCCAGCAGGTGTGACTTCCTCAAAGAAACCATGGGGCCCAAGCTTGTGTGGCTCTAAGCCTCTGAGAGAGAATCTCATCCCCCAACCCCACTTAATGGCCTTGGGGCTAGGGAAGAGGATGGGATGAGACAGGCATTGGGTGAGTGTAAGGCACACAGTGACCTCAGCTCTGGGCCAGGGTCGGGGCAGGCAGAGGCAGAGGCTGCTCAACTGGAGCCTGGCTAGAAGTGCTGATGCAGCTGCAGGCCATTGCTCCCTGGGCAGCCACCCCCACCCCCGTGGGTGAGCACAAGGTGCACCCCGCAGGGGGCCTGTCTTGGTGGTCAGGTGACTCTGACTTCTGGGGGATTAGAGGCTGGAATTCAGCTTCCACAGGGAAACCAAGACCCAGTGGGGAGGAAGATTCACAGGGTTACACTGACTCAGATGCAGCCCTGGCTGGATGCAGGCCCTTACCACTGCACAACCACCAGAGATACCAGTTCCTGTCCCTGTTAGTCCTGGGGGGATCCAAGAAGATCTGGGGACATTAACATGTGTATGTGTCCTGTGACTCCTTCAGAGTCTGGGTAAGGGGCGCTCTGTAGTAATCTCAGTTCCTGTCTCCAGAGAACTGGCTCAGGGGTAGAGCAGAGGCAGAAGCCAAGGGTAAGCACCGTGGAACCAGTGTCCCACCTCCAGACCAGCCCAAAGTGCCAGCTGCCAGGGTGAAGTCCTGGCCATCTAAGACAGGCGGGGAGGGTTAACCCCACTAGGCAAGGAGGCAACCATCTTCTTACCCCATTAGTGAGGTGCTGAAGGAACCCAGAACCAAGACTCCAAACCCAGAGCTTCGACCTGAGAATTTAGGGGCAGGGCCTAGAGCTCCCACTGCAGGCCACACCAGAGAGGACACTCCAGAAACTGGAGCCCAGGATCTGAAGACTAGGCCAGATCTCAGAGTTTCAGGTCTGAAACCTAGGAGCTGGAGCCTGGGACTACAGTCTGGGAGTGTGCTATCCACAGCTTCATGCTCAGGCCTGGTCCCCAGGGCCAGCATGAAGGACAGAGGGCTGGAGCAACATGAGGAAGGGAGTTGCAGGGGAAGAGGTGATTTCTGAGAAAAGCCTGAAGGAGCTTCAGCTCTTTTGGTCACAGACTTTGGCCTCGTCAGTCAATGAGTGACTGGCGCCTGGGCCACCAGAATTAATTATTACCCAGGGCACTCATCCCCCAAACAGAGACAGGACAATCTCAGGTCAGCCGCCCTGCCCTGCCCTGCCCCATAGGCTCTAATGTAGCCTTGAAAGGTGGGACTTGACTGGGACTTCTCAGGGCCCTGCTTGCTCTGTGCAGGGCAGCTCAGATTGAAGTCCAGCCTCTCCAAGAGAGGACAAAGTCAAGAAGGCCAGGGGAGGGATTGCTCTGATCCCCAAAGGGAAGTAGTGGATGGTCCCTACGATGTCACCCAGCTTACGGGTGAGAAGGGCTGCCTTGACCACAGATCAGAGAGGATGTGTGTCCATGTGTGCAGTGCACACTCCACTGTGTTT